AAATCTGATCATCTTTGTATCTGTGCCAGAGAGTGCAGATTAACTAAAGAAGTGGTTTTATTGCTGGTAGTAAAAGTGTGACCCTGGAGCGCCTAAAACTTCTCATTAAAAGGAGCATCTCATATTTAAGTGAGTGGGAAATATCAGGGCGACTGCCTTTAGCAAGTACCAGTTTTAAATAACTGGGAAAGCTGCTCACTCATAATCCAATATCAACAATGATGATGCAATCTAAATATTTCTTCTTCTTCCTTTTGTCCCAAGCAAACATACAAATCCCTGTAGTCATGGATCGTATGCCGTATATTTGTGATCAGGTGCTTAAAGTGATGTCTAGCAGCCAAATGGGAAAGTCGCTCACTTCACATCTCAAATACACACCAAACACATATTTTCAAAGTGGTTCAGAAACTTACTGCTGCTCATTGTCAGTGAAATGAAGATCCAGCTTCAACTGAAAATCCACCTCACTCAAGGCCTCCTCCACCTGCAAATGGGAACGATAAGGGTTGTTGATGCATAAATATTGAAAGACCACGGGCACAAAGGAATCATAATCATAATCTTTGTATCACAGAACAAACCAAAAAACCCATGTAGACAGGTCAAGTTCAGCTACCTCAACTGGGCCCTGTCTGCCAAGGTGACCACGCCCCTAACTACAGTGTCCAGATGTATACAAATCTATCCGTCCACACAGTTATTATGGTGGGAAAACTTTCCATAGAAGCCAAATCCCTTTTTACCAGGTTTCTAAACATGCTTTTTTATGGTGTAAAATAAAAATGAACGTGGGTTAACTCGCTTTGGACATGGCATCAAGTGGCCCATGAGTCTGTGAGAGTTTGGTCTCTGTACCTTTGCATTAGTGTATTTTAATCGGTGTTCGATTATACTTATTTACTTCCACCTGTTTATTTGCTAACCAAATGTAGCATTGACATCACATAGAAATGTTACTGCACCTTGCTAATCAAGCTAGTTAGCAATAGCTGATAACCAGAGATGGGCAGTAACGCGTTACCGTAATCCGATTACTTTTTTCAAGCAATGAGTAAAGTAAGGGACTACTATTGCAAAAAAAACGAATTAGATTACTGTCACTTTCCCGTAAGCACACTGCGTTACTGTGTTAGTAGACCATGATTTTGTTTGTGAGAGTGTCTCATGACAATTACGTAAAAGCGTGCGATGTTCGTGGCAGCAACAGATCAAGATAGATCAATAATGGATAATATGGAGTGCGGGAGAGAGTACGACCGTGCGGCGTTTAAAGTATGGACGTACTGACATTACTTTGAGCTTGATTCGGTAAAAAGTGACAAAAACATTATCATCTGTTGTACACTCTGCGTGGGAAGAAAACTTCTTTCTACAGCAAAAAATTTTACTTCAAATCTGAGCAAGCACCTAGCACGCTGCCACGGGAATGTGAAATTCACAGAGATCCTCCCACTGACATGACCGCTGCAGCACTGGGCAAACCTCCAGGTGACAATAGATATAAGAGCGACAGGACTTAGTGGTGCTAAAACATTATTTTATGTTATATGCTGGAATATGCAAAAAAATAGGTTTAACTGTTAAACAAAGTTCAAGTCAAAGACTGTTTCATATAATTACATTTTGCAATAAAGCTAAAAGATTAAAACTAATAAAACAAGTTTTATTAGTTTTAATAGTTTTCACTTGATTCAATTTTATATGATGGATTGTGCAGAAAAAATAGAATTGGGCTGAAAGGTCTATTGCTTTAGTATGTATTCGGGTTGTGTATCATGTAACTAAGTAATAAAGTAACTATTTACTTCTGAAAATAAATAATCAGTAAAGTAATGGGATTACTTTCATGGAGAAGTTTTTTTTAAGTAACTTGACCAACACTGCTGATAACACCCAACAGCTTCCACCCTGGCATAATGGCGAATGCAAAACTGAGACTTCAGAACGGAAATGCAACAAATCAGTGCAAGAGGCTGTTGGGTGTTTCACACAGAAGACTAGACTAGTGTTCATATCCAGATTTAAGCAACAGGTAGGTTGGTAAAAGTCAACGTATGTAGATTCTGATATTTTACAAAAACATATTTTTTTTTATAAATGCCATTTCTAGATGACAGGGTTCAAAAATCTCCCAGAGGTGGATGTGACAGCTGTAGCCTCAGCTTTCACATTATCTTTGCACTCATCAAACCATACGGCAGCCACTTGTGCTCTGTGGAGAAGGATCTGACTTTCATTTATTTACTGTCACTCACGTGAATGGAGAAATTCTGAATTAATGAAGGGGAACGGCTATCACACGGTACCAACAAGAACATGATGGATTTGCTGCTATTTGGCACAGAAGCTAATGTAGCCAACCTTGTTTGCAATTCTGATTTAGCCACTTTAGTGTTCTTTTTGATTAACTGTTTATGTTCTCTGTATTCCGGCATTTATGTCTTTCATGTGGGCTGAAAAAATCAATTACTCTCATGTTCAAAGTGCCGTAGAAAATAAAGGCATAAATCTGAACAACAAAGTGAAAAAAAAGAAAAAAAAAACGGTATTAGGAAACTACAAAGCCGGGGCCGAAAATGGATGCAACAGACTCTTCTGAGGATTGGTGTGCAGCGCTGTTAAATTTTAATAGAAGCAGTTCCACTTTTGTAGCGCTTACAGTAAAGGTATAAATCCATCAGATATTGATGGTGTGATTGATTAAGAATACATCGGGTGTGCACAGGGGAAATGAGAGGCTATTTTCGTCTGCGCTATCTGTAGCTGTGAACAGCAGATAACCTCTGGAAGGTTAATGAGCGGGGAGCCATCGGGAGAGCTTACAGATGAAATCTGATATGCCTTTAAGCTCTTCTGTCTCCACACCTCCACAGCAACACCTACGTTTAATGAACATTTCTAAAATTAGTTGTCATGTGAGACAGAAAATCCACATTCGGGCAGAAGCAGGAATCCTTCCACAGTAAACTAGGCGTATACACCACATGTCAGGGAGCAGCTGAGCGACGGTTTAGAGTAATGTCAGCGTGTGAGCTACGGCTATCAAATGCATGATTAGCTTCAAATGAGGCCATCTTAACGCTCCCACGTCCCAGCATCAAGCCCGTGTCACCGCTGTCACTGCTGATCAATTTGAGCTCCGGTGGCTCCCACAGGCAAAAACGGGCAGAGTGGATTCTCAGGGTCACGCCCACAGTAAAACAGAACATCAATAACTGTCAGGTAGGTTTACACACCTGATCAGTTGAACTAAATATGGCCGGTCTGGGTGCACAGGCACAGTCTTTCAGTTACATAACATTAATTTCACGGAACGAGTCTACGAGCTCGGTGACCCTCGCAATGGTTGAGTGGTTATTATGATTAGGACAGAATTCCTTTGAAAAAGGCAATTAACCTTTTCCAGTGAATAGCTGTTGTTATCTTTCAGGGAACCAAACTCCTGTCAATCATTTCATCACATTTAAGAACCGCTAATGCCTCCATTAACAAAAAAAAAACTATAGTGTGCCCTCAGACCCTTAAAGAAAGTATTGGAGACAAGTTCTAGGCCTGAAAATGAAAGCCAGCTGTCAAAAAGTTGAAAAGTTCAGTTCTTCTAATATTCCACTTCAGACCTACTCCAAAAGTAAAATCAATGCCCATTTAAAAAAATCTGTTACTTACCACTAACTCTTTCTGGAACAGTTCATGCATGTAGCTAACCAATTAGCAGCCATTTAATAGTTAATTTAATATGACCAATGCAATCGCAAAAACAGTTGCTGTGTCTGAGGTCAACTTTCAATAAGCTTTATTACATTTTCTGGGTTCATAAACATTGAACAGGAAGTTCTGAACTGGATTTCCTTTAACGTCTATCCAAGTATCCGGGCTACACTGGTAGCCTCAGAAAATTAGCTAACGGCACCAAAGGGCGAGCCATCAGACTGACCAGTAGTTTCAAAGATTAGAGCTACATTAACTTATAAGCTTTGTTTATTTAAATGCATTTTTATCCCTGTTATAGCCATCACATGAAATGTTTACCCAGAACATCAGTGCAAACTGTTTCTAAGAATATGGCAGCTGTAACTGTGATCAGTCTGCAAAAATCACAAATCTGTTGCTGTCTTCATACACAACTACTTCCATTTAGAGTTCAGCCATAACTCATAGATCTGAAGTACAAATTCAGAAATTCCTCTGCAAATAGTGATGCAGTTGCTGCATGACGGCACTTTAATTTCAATTTGCTATAGCTGCCCGGCAATCTTGCTTTTCAACAGGAATCTATAATCAGAATGCAAACAGTTTATATAAGTTGAGTCGAGTCCCTACTGTAAAGTGACGTGTCACTGACAAGACTGAGTCCAATTGAAAGCAACATATTAGCAATCCATCTGCTTTATTTGCAAACCTCCGCCTTCATCTGGATGAGCGTGACTGCAGTTAGTCTGAGTCGGACTGCAACTGTTTGGAGATAGGTTGCCTCCTGCCAGGTGGCCTGTGCAATCATCAGATGAGGGTGTTGCGCACTGACAATTACTTACAATTGGTTCCCAATAGCAAAACAATTTAATGCAACCACTGGGCGCCCATCGATTGTTCCTAATCGCAGGATACCCTATTTTCATTCTACAGTCAATGATGCTTTAGACATCTTAAGCTCTGTTAGACAAACCTTACAAGTCAATGTTTCCAGAAAGTACATCTTTGCAAATTGAGCTGTCTTTGGCCAAAGAAATAGAACGGCTCCGACACCCCTGCTTTAAATCTATACAGCTATAAACAGATAGACTATATATTTTGCAGTCTGAACACCTGCAAAATATATAGCACCGTAGTTTTTCATCTTTTATTCCCTGTTGTGTAAAATATCTGCTGTGATTAAGTGGAACGAATGTGTGTGTTCTGAACAAGGAGTATCGTTTGTGTCAGATGATAAAAACAACAAGTGCAGAAGGGAATAGAGAATGATGAAATCCATTAATTACGGCCCATTTAATACGCTGTAAAGCTACAAGTTGCTATGGAATAAATAAAAAAGCGAGCAAATGGCAATCAATCCTCCACCCCCCCCTTTCAAACTGGATATTTGTCTGTGTGTGTGCAGAAAATGTCACCAGCATGACTCACCCGTTCTCCGTCCAATAGCAGGTGGACTTTAAAGTTCATACAGTCATTCACCGATATCTCCTCGTTTCTGTACAGGATCTGAAATATCCGGCTGAACACGGTGCCGTCGTAAACCCCCGCAGAGCTGAAGCTGCACTCTCCTAATGTGGGACGCAAAAGCACAGCACAGTGACAGCAAGTGCAATTAGTATCCACATATGATAAGACATAGATCCGATAGACTAAAACAAGCACTAAACACGAATGTTTAACTGATAACGGGAGCTTTCTCAGAGCTCGCTGTCATGACTACAAACAAACAAAACATCACTTTATGTTTGCACAGCATCAACGGGTTTGTGAGGATCTACACAGTTCTTGACATTTGCACATATTTACAGACACTCAGAGGCAAGCATCTACGTTTAGCTCTCGAACCAAGTGATGAAATCTGTAAATGAGTTTTGGACCAAGAACGCTAAAAAAACAAGAAATCAAGCAGCAAAATGGAAACATAAAAAACGGCAGTTCTTCATGTGAACACTTAGACTGGTTCAGAAAGCAGGTCAGCGCACACTGTTAACAAAAAAAAAAACATTCGGGCCTCTATGAGTAGGTTCCCTCTAAACCTGTATTCACACTGGCTGCGGATGCTAGAGAAAAAACCTTCCTGCAGTTGTATTGATCAGTTCAGAAATTCTTCCACAAATAGCGAAGTAGTTGCCGCATGATGGCAATTTAATTGCAAAATCCCACATGTACCTGGCAACGCTCTGTTATATCGGAATACATGTTGTAGAATAGAACCAGAGTCGAGGCCCTGACTACAAGGACACGTGTCACAGGTGAGGGCAGACTGACTCGGGTTGACTGCAACATTGGGTGATCTGTCAGCTTTTATTTGCAGCTACCTTGAAAAATTGTGACGCAAACAGGAAGCAGGGAATGTTCAGTGTCAGTGTAAAAGCTGTTGGTTTCAGCAGTAAGGAACAACATTTACTTTGAAAGGTGAACATTCTCCATTTCATTAATCCATGGACAAATGGCACATGTTTCCCAGTCGTGGCAGTCTGTTAGCAACCAAAGCAATCACAGTGAGGCTGTTGGTGCAGCAGTCAATTTCGCCCAGGGACAGCCAACAACCTCCAGATGCTACTCTGGAGTTTTTCTAAGCAAAGTTACCGCTTGTCTCTAGGCTTGTTTAACTAAAGCAAGGCAAAGCAAACAGCTGTGGGCTGTTTTTTTTATATTTAGGTCTATCGATGTTGCTCACATCAAGTTCAACTGATAAACTTTAAAGTCCTTTAAATTTCTCGTTGTGGGAATGCAGAGCCAGTAGTACCTTTAAATGTTTTCAAGGGAAAACTAATAAATTGGATTTTATGTGCAAAAATTATATCACACATTTTCCCCCAAAACTCACATGATCTCAGAGGCAGCCCATTGTTTCAACTGCCATCATCGTCCACGTCGTAGCACTTTGGTGTGCGACGCGGTGGCTGTTTACTGTGTGCGACTAGCGCATTTTTCCCTGGCAGCACTGCAGAGCTGCTGTCCAGCTGTGAGCCGTGAGAGGTCTTTGAAATCCCCTGCTGAGGTTGTGCTCTTTTCTGTCTCGGTCTTACTCTCCCCCTCTCTGCAGGCCTCCTCCCGATAATGCTGTCACTACTTGCAGCATCAAGCAGCCCCAGCCAGGGTGACGGATGTGTGGAAGCACGAGTGCTGTCAAAGGCTTGGTGGATGTGTGGCACAGACAGCATAATCCCTCTGGGGATGTACTTTCTGGGGTAGGAGTTGTTGCGCGGTGTTAGCACGGTCTCCTTACAGTTGCATGAATGTGACTTTGATGTTCTTGTTTTTATTTTGTTTTTGTGTAGGTTTCAAGCTCCTGTTTCAAGACACATAAGCAGATTAGACACTCGACACCGTGTGCTGTCATTAACATAAATTATTCTCTGTGTCTATTTGACCTGTGAAGGACTCATCGTTTCCCTCGGGAGCCTCCGTGCTTCACAAACGCTGGATTTCTCCCTTCATGTGGCCAGAATCACTAAATCAACAAACTGCACCTGCTGCAGTGGCTACTCTCACACGCTCACAGATATTATACTTCCCTTTCAATGTCTGTTTGTACTACAGACTTGATTAAATGATACAATACGTGTCGAGGGACTTTCAGTGATAAGGCCTTGATAAGAACGCAGCATAACTGAAATAACAGCTTTGACACATCTAGCAGTGCTGTGCACACTTGAGGTGGAAAAAACACTAAACCACCCGTAAAATGCAATATAACAATATTATGAAGCCTTCTTTCATAAGATTGAAGATCAGTTAAGATGGAAACTGATAGTCGGTGTGACACTATATTGTTTATAGTTTGTTTATACAGAACTGGCACTAAATTGGCTGTAAGCTATTTGTCATGGCAGTCACATGAGGCTGTAGAAGAAAAAACCTTTAAATATAGTATATAAAAAAATTTAAAAGTTGCATTTTCTTACACATTCGGTAGAACACACTCACACACCATATATTATATATATAATATACATTATATATATATATAATTTAAGACTTACAATATAAATATATTAAACTGTAATTTTGCTGGTATCTAACGCTAATTGATAAAAAATAGTAATATCATAATCTACTATAATAACACTTCTGATTACTTATTTTAAATGTAAATATTGTCTATATGTCTATATGTTAGCCCTGCGACAGACTGGCGACCAGTCCAGGCTGTACCCTGCCTCTCGCCCTATGACAGCTGGGATAGGCCCCAGCGCCCCCCCGCGACCCTGAAAAGTCGCGGGAGGGTGGTAGTGAATGGATGGATGCCTATTCTTAAGGAAATATTAAGCATCATCAATCCCAAGGTATTTTTTTACTCAGGCCGACAACATCTCAAAATGAAAGTGTTCTTATTTGAAAGTAAAATGATACTATTTTTGATTGAATCAATATCGATGAGAGGGTGGCACATGCTGCCAGCCCCTCCCAGGGAGTTAGAATTACTCCAATTAACTGAAGGAGCCTTTAAAACTCACACAGGCAGTTCAAAACATGTAAACAGGAAGGTTCAAGCTGACCCACATGTTCATTGACAGAATCTGGTAGCTGTAAGCGGCAGTGCTGACCACTGTTCCACCGTGCCATAAACATCTTGGTGTTTTACTCCCAGTTTTGACCAGTTTCTTTGTCTTTTTTCTGGAATAGTCGTCCAGAAATTTGTAAGAAGCTCAACCTATCTGACACAAAATGACCGAGCATCATCAAACTAACTACATATTCACATGCCATCAGAAATCACTCGGTTCTGACACTCGTCTGGTGTACTGTGCTTCTCACAGGTACTGGACTGTTATCACATCCTGCACATTAAAACCTGCTGAAACGCCCTTCAGCTTTAGCCACAGTGCTTCTGTGCTGGAAATAATCAGCTTACAGCCTCTGCTCTGCATCTGCTGTGTGTGTGTGTGTGTTTGTTTGTTTGTGTGTGTGTTTGTGTTCTGCCTATCAGTAAAGCACACAGAACTCGCCACACAGATTTGCTCCTCATGATATTAATAAGAAAGGGCATCTTAGTCGGTGCAGTAGGAGACGCCGTAAACAACACTCCAGTTCTCCCAGTTAACATTCTGACTTGAAAATCCCAATCTTACTGCGCATGAATCACAGTCATTAAATCCTTCAGCTGAGTGTGTGGCACGATCCTTCACAAGTAATTCCTTTTTTTTCTGAAGGGCACAGACAATTGAAATGTCAAGCACACGCTTTCAAAGAGGACACAGTAAGGGAATTGTATGATGAATGTAATTGTTCTATCTGTGGCCAGAATGGCAGCTTTATGTTTATGATTCAGTCTGTGAGGTATGCAGGCTCAGTGCATGACCTTGTGGAAAGAGCTGCAGAGGAGAGGGGAGGGCCGCAGCCTTCCAATTACAATATGCATGCAAGATCGTCACTGTAATATACGTAGCTGCAGTGTTTCTTGCTGTCTACATATGCTAATGGCTGGTGAAACATTGCAGTGTAGTCAGCAGCTTAGATATTAGTGCATCAAAAATGCACTATACCAATCTATATCAAGTGCTAATCAAATGTATTTGATTATTTGATCATCAGAAAGTGTCACGCCAACTATTAAAGCAAAGGTTTGGGCCGTTTGCTGCTCTGTAGCGTTCAGGTGAGCATTAACACAATGGAAAAATTGTTCGCAGAGCGGATGACCCAGCAAATACACCCCAAGATCAGACCATAAAATTCTCAGAGAAACTGCAATAAATCTAAGAGCTGCATTTCAAACTCCACAGAGCTCAGTTAGTGTCAGACGTTAAAGCTCATGATAGTACAAATATATAAAATATTGCTTATATAAAAGAATTGCCCGGAGAAAGTCTCTTCTCTCTAAAAAACAAAACAGGACTGAATGGCTTAGGTTTTGCAAAGCTGCATTAAACACAGTATATCAACAAAACAGCCCATGCCAGCTGTCGAGCATGATGGTGGAGGGATAATTATTTTAACTTGTTTTGCAGCCACAGGATCTGGAAACCTTGAGTCAACCATGAACTCACAAACATGAGCATATATCAAAGTATTCTAGAGTCAACGAGACGCCATCTGTCTGACAACTAAAGCTTGGCCCGAATTAGGTTATGAAACAAGATAATGAAACCAAACACATGAGCAAATGTGAAAGTCTAGACATCAGCCTGACTGAAATGCTACAGCAGGACCTTAGACTAAATGGTAAATGGCCTGTATTTATATAGCGCTTTACATATCCAGTCATTCACCCATTCACACACTGGTGATGGCAGCTACATTGTAGCCACAGCCACCCTGGGGCGCACTGACAGAGGCGAGGCTGCCGGACACTGGTGCCACTGGGTCCTCTGACCACCACCAGTAGGCAACGGGTAAAGTGTCTTGTCCAAGGACACAACGACCAAGACTGTCCGAGCCGGGGCTCGAACCAGCAACCTTCCGATTACAAGGCGAACTCCCAACTCTTGAGCCACGATCACCCCTAGCTTAGCATGCTGGAGTTTTCCTTACTGTATATGAAGAAGTATTTTATAAAAACCGCAATTTGTGAATTTGAGGAAAGTTACATGTTTAAAACAAATCATGAGCTCAAGCATCTACAGTCACCTGTAGTTTGGGGTAATGTGTGGGCCTACAGTTGTGTAAACAGGTAGCATTCTGTCAAGACACAAACTGTCATTATTTAAGCAGCTTTTAGGTGAAAAGACTGAATAGTAAGCACCATTAGGCACCTCTAAAAATGAGTTACATTATTAAATACATTTGTGTCAGCTAATCTGAGCTAAAGTAACAAAACTGAAGCCTCCCCTGTCTGGAAAATGATCTACTCTTTCTTTACAACATGTAAAAAAGCTGATCCTCCAGGATTCAGCAGCCCTAAAAATAGACATACATACATATTCTTCATTTCTATTCAACTTGACATTATGGTGGCTACTTGGAACCAGCAGTAATGAGGGAGCAAGAAATTCTTCTTAATCAAAAACCCCGTGTCTCCTGTCACTGTGTTTTAGGTGAAAACACTCACACATCATCTTTACAATCACGCACGCATGGTCAGTTTGGTGTTGCTGGTGGTGCTGTCCTCTATAGCAGTGAGAACACTGACAACAGCTACATGCCTGAGACTAATATCCTGCTCCAAAAGACCAAAATGCCCTCACAATCTAAAACATCCGAATGAAAACAGTAGGCTGCACTGTCACAAGTGCAGCTGGTGTACACACACACGCACACATACACACACTGCTCCAGTCATGATAGGCTAAAAATAGCCAATATTGAGAATCAGGATTGGCAGTGAAACAGCTTTCTGCAACGCCACAGATCCACATTTTGACAGTTAGGTAGGTTTGGAAGCCTTCAGTCACAACCTATGAATACAAATATGGACGCAACAGAAGAAGAATATTTCATGATCTTTGAGGAGCCTGAAAGTAATTGTATATTTGTATAGGAATGAAGCATTCAATGTTCACAAAGCTTTCACTACAGTGTATTTTTTGGTGATTGTTTACACTTTTTTTCTAATTAAGTAGGAAACAAATGTGTTTTAGAAATTTAAAGAGCTTTTTCAATACATGGACATTTTCCTTAAGATGAGTTTTTCTATTATGCAGCACAGTGCAGCTTTAAGCCTGCTTTGCCCTTTTCAGCCAAGACTAAAGACTTTCCCTGGATAACTGGAAATCCAATACAATTTTATTAAACGTTTAAGAGTTATTGTTTGAAATGTTTCAAAGCTATTTTAGATGCCAGATATTCTGCAGGATGAGTCACTCAGTTTTTAAATCCTAAATCA